AGCCCCGAGCAAAGCTGCGGAGGCACAGACTCCCCAGCACAGCACAGCAGGGAGACCAAAGCTCCTGTCTCCCTGCTGTCTCCCTGCCTGTGCGGCTTTGCTCCGGGGCAAAGGAGCAAAGCCACACGGGCAGCGGGGTCCCGCCGCCTGTGCGGCTTTGCTCGGGTCTCCCTGCTGCACTGGGAGCACACCAGGGAGACAGGAGCAAAGCCGCAGAGGCAGGGGACCCCGCCGCCTGTGCAGCTTTGCTCCGGGGCAAAGGAGCAAAGCCGCACGGGCAGCGGGGTCCCGCCGCCTGTGCGGCTTTGCTCGGGTCTCCCTGCTGGGCTGGGAGCACACCAGGGAGACCCAGAGCAACTTTTCTCACCCCGGAGGACGCGGTGGCGGGATCACTGCGCTCTGGGTGGTCCCGCCGCCCGCGAGCTCCGGGGCGAGAAAAGCCCTGTTCGTAAGTGCGGATCTGACATAAGTCGGATCCGCACAAGTCGGGGACTGCCTGTACTTGGCACCATTCCATGTCAGTATCCATGCTTTGCCAGAATAGGATCTCTTGGGCTCTGCTCCTGAATCTGTGTGATCCCGTGGAGTGTGGCACTGTGACATAATACTCTACAGGAAGGATTCCATTATTTGTAGTAACTTCTTCTCTACAGACTATAAATTTGTATGCTTTTTCCCCCCATTGGTCATCCAAATAGAGTTATCCGCTTGAGCTTTTGTTGGGTTATTGGGAGTAATTCTTGGTTAAGATTGTCAAATTAGAAATGGTCAGCTTTTGAGTCATATTTATTTCCTATCTTTGGTAGTTTAGGCTTTGGATCATCCCTTTCAACCCAGAGATCAAAGAGCTTTTAAAGTAGGTCAGGCAAAGGCTTCCGGTTTCCTCAAGCAATACCTACTGCTGACTCCAAGAAATGAACCAGATTGTGCCAAACAGCTGACCTCACCCAGCAGTAGGCAACTGGGAGCCAAGGGATGAATATTCCTGTATGTGCTAATGGAAGAGCCCTGCCTGAACTGAGGGCAGTTGCATCAGTGTTGCAGCAATCTTGTCTCATGATATTTAGCCTTATCCCTGAAGCCCCAGCAGATGGAGTCCATTTGTGTGAATCTCAACTTTTAGTCAAACAAAATTACGTTTCTAGCCCTCAGGGCTGCAGAGTAATGTTCTTGCACAACGTCTTGGTAGGCTCCAACACCAGGTGGCAAAAGACTGGGAACTCAGTATTAAAAAACCCCCAACAAAATCCAACCAAAAATGGCCTGGGATTTCCAAACCAGACCAAGCCCGAGGTAGGCTTAGTCCTCTTGGGATTGGTCTGATTCTGGTCTCTACCCTTGGGGTTCCAAGCGGCTCCAGTCCTGGTGGGTACCAGTTCCTGCCTCCTCAGATCCTAGCCAGTCCTTGGCCCATGAGGAGTCAGCCCGTACCTGGCCCGGAGTGTGTGCGTTTGCGTGTGTGTGTGGGGGCGGGGGGGAGAAGGGGGGAGTCCTATCTAGCCATCTGCCCTCCTGAGGGGAGCTGCCCCTAGGGTTGCCAATCCTCCAGGATTGACCTGGGGTCTCCAGCAATTGAAAATTAATCTTTCATGAAAGATGGTGAGGTGATGACATCTCCAGGAATACAGCCAACCAAACCTGGCAATGCTGGCGCCCAGCCCTCACCCCTAGGGGTCCGGCCTGGCCCTTAGCCAGTGGGGCCCCGTCCAGCCATCTCCACTCCTGAGGGGCCCCTCGCTGGGGGAGTCCCACTGGACAGCCACCCCTGAGGGGTGCTGACCCCCCCCATGCCCTAGGGGTCCTGCCTGGCCCCTTGCCGTGGGGGAACTGCCCACCCCTTCCACTCCG